ATATAATTAGAAATGAGTATGGAAGTGGAAGTTTGAAGTGGTGCAGCCACCCCTATTGATCGAAATATTGCATGGAAATTGGTTGTCATATGGTATGAACATGGGATGCTGAAGATTGAGGAATACGTTAGGACGATAGTTAAATGATTAATGGATTGTGTGAACGGTGATATGGTTAGAAAGGGGCCGCTCAACTCGATTAGATTACTGAGATAAATAAATAAATAATCTTTATTATCAAAAAAAGCGAGAGGACGGCTAGTAATTATGTATGAAAGAACACATGTTCCACAAACTTTAAATAAATCAAGATAAAGGTCAGTCTACTGCACGTTCATGGTAACTTGAACTGGTAACCACGAAAGAAAGGTGTTGTGTAATCTTTATGGCGGCTTGGAAGTTAAGTGCGAGCGCTAATCCGTGCAGATATAGTTGAAAGAAAACTTGATGGTGTTTCAGATCACTGTAGGTAAAGCGAAGCGTGAAGGTACAGGACTTGCGCTCGCAACTAAGCCGCTATAAAGTCTATATATATGATATAATTCACGCAACCTGGACGCATACCGTGGGGGCTGATTCGATGTGATGCAGAACAAAACCACCGGGAAAAACTTAGGGGAGTCTTCTGCCTAGTAGTGGGACAGCATGGGCTGGACAAAAAAAAATCATACGAAGCCTAATACATTGCCTGTAGTGGTGATTTCGTTAATCTCTGCAGAGGAGAAAAAAATGCATGCGTCGACTCAGGGACGCACGGATGGAGTGCCTATGTTCAGATTGCTGTCGTTACGAAAAAACCTTAGCTCGTTGCACGAACTCAATATAATGTTCTGCTGCACGTCGTATACGTGTTCTGAAAAGAAAGGAGTTAAAGCTCCAATCAAGTGCTCTTTCCTTGATCTCTTCGCTCACTTTTGACTGTTGCTTCACCATATCTTAAAGCAATTACAGTTTGAAAACTTTCCTATTCTGAGTTGAACGTAAGATTTATTTATTTATTATCTCAATACAACTATTATTACAGGATTAACCCAATGCAATAATGTAGTGATCTAATATTTGTTTATTTAATATATACCTATGAGATGGACAATACGTCATAACTTATATAGCATCGATACTGAAAATATCGACAAAAACAACACTATTTCTTGTGGGTGGAGTCTTCGCCATACATGAGAGACACTTGACTTCAGATCACGTGACCACATTTCATATCCTCTATTTTTCTTATATCTATGAGTATTGCACATTTGTCAAAATCGTTAACTTTTTTACAGACAGGTCCGAGCTAGACCCTTTGCCTTTGCCTGGGGTCAGCCATACGCCTTGATTCATTTGTCCCTGTCTATGATATTAATTGTAAATATACAATATATTTAAATATAAAAAGTGTAAGTGAGAAAATATTTTAGTTGAACTACAAATTCAGGGATTAATCAGTTGCCAGCATCCGATTTCAAATAGTTACTAAAAAATGTTATATAAACACAGTTCTTAGAAATACAAAAACTGAACAAACTAGCAAGTTATTAGTTTTATTATATCTTTTCAAAATAGTGTCAATTTACATCAATACATCGCTGCATCCGATGGAACCACTGAGAAAAGCACTTTGCCCACTCATCCTTAGGGGTCTCTTTGACGGCCGTTTGAAACGTAGCCACTGCTTCCTCGACGTCCATAAAACGTTTTCCTCGAAGTTTTTCTTTTATTTTCGGAAATAAATAAATATCGCAAGGTGCGAGGTCGGGACTATAGGGCGGGTGACCCAGTAATACCACGTCTGACGTCGCCAAGTATTCGATTGTATGTTTGGCGGTGTGTGACGAGGCGTTGTCGTGGTGACGGAGGATTCTACTGCGAGGTCGTTTCTCCCGAACTTTTTCTAAGACAAGTGGCAAACAATTGTTAGTGTACCACTCTGCAGTAACTGTTTTTCAATCCTCTAAAACAATTGTTGCGTAATGACCTGTCCCTCCGAAGAACGAGGCCACCATCTTTTTTCACACGCTTCGACCTCTCTTCACTTTAGCAACACAGTTGGCAACCCCTCGGAAGGAAACACCCAGACAGCAGACTGTCTCTTAGTTTCAGGATCATAACAATAAATGCCCATTGGAGGCAGATCCCAGCCATGGTTTGGTCGCTCCTGTAAAATAGCATCACGCTACAAGCAAGAGTGCTACCAGACCTGGGCTGACGCATCAACGTCCCGGGATGTAAACACCAGCGCTCTTAAAAGGACGTATAATTCCGCCTCCAGGTCCTTCAAAAGTGTCATTGCCAAGGCAGACAGAGCACATCGGCAGAATTGGCGAGAAACTAGTTCACCTCCCTTCGGGAACACGTGCATTCTGGTCTCTCGCCAAGGCTGTCCAAGGGAACTTCTGTTAGCCATCTCTACCATCTCTGCATAGGGTGGACGACTCACTGGCCCATGACGCAAAGGAGAAAGTCGATCTGCTAGGCTCTCTTTCTGCTTCCAACTCGACCCTAGATGACGAGGGGAACACACCGCCGACTATCCCGCGGTGGGAGTGCTCCATGCGGGAAGTGCTGTTTACACAGCGCTTGGTGCGTAAAGCACTCCTCTCCCTGGACGTCAATAAGTCGAGTGGACCTGATAGAGTCCCGCCTATTGTGCTGAAGACGTGTGCTCCAGAGTTGGCACCGGTTTTAACGCGTCTTTTTCGGTACTCCTACTCCCTAGGCGTAGTCCCGAACTCATGGAAGATAGCTTTGGTGCACCCGATCCCTAAAAAAGGCGACTGCTCAGATCCATCCAACTACAGGCCTATCGCTATCACCTCCTTGTTCTCCAAAGTAATGGAAACGATTATTAACAGGCAGCTCTTGCGGTACCTTGAGGATCACCAGCTGATTAGTGACCGCCAGTACGGTTTCCGTCGAGGTCGCTCGGCTGGTGATGTTCTGGTCTGCCTGACTCGGCGGCGGAGGCAGTGGAGTCCAAGGGGGAGGCGTTGGCCGTTAGTTTGGACATAGCGAAGGCTTTCGATCGGGTTTGGCACAAAGCGCTTCTTTCGAAGCTGCCTTCCTATGGGCTTCCCAATTGTGCAATTGGATCACCAGTTTTCTTGCAGATCGGAGCATCAAGGTCGTAGTAGACGGTACATGCTCCTATTACAAGCCCATTAACGCTGGTGTTCCACAAGGCTGCGTGCTATCACCAACGCTGTTTCTTCAGCATATCAATGATATGTTGCAAACCAGTAACATTCATTGCTATGCAGACGACAGCACTGGTGATGCTTTATACACCGGTCGTTCCAATATTTCTCGGGAAAACGTCGCCGAGTACCGGAACAAACTTGTGTCTGAAGTCGAGACTTTGTTGAACAAAGTCTCAGACTGGGGGCAACTAAATCTACTCCAGTTCAATCCCCAGAAGACACAATTTTGCGCGTTTACCGCTAAAAAGAATCCCTTTGTCGTATCTCCTCAGTTTCAAGGCACTCCCCTTCTTGCCTCAGCCAGTATCGGTGTCCTCGGTGCCGACATATTGAGTGACGTGCAGTTTTGTGGTCACTTGGAAGAGAAAGCCAAATTGGCCTCTAAAAAGCTTGGCGTGCTCAGCATAGCGGGACAGTATTTCATGCGGGCGCACCGCTTGCAACTTTACAAGGCGCAGGTTCGGCCTCATATGGAATACTGTTCCCATCTCTGGGCAGGGTCTCCCCAGTGCCAGCTCCTTCCACTTGACCGCATCCAGCGCAGAGCGGTTCGAATCGTCGACGACCGAGTTCTTTCCGATCGGCTAGACTCACTGGCACTGCGTAGAGATGTTGCATCTCTTTGCGTATTTTATCGCATCTACCACGGGGAGTGCTCTGAGGAATTGTTCGGACTAATTCCAGCCGATCAATTTCACTATCGCACATCGCGACAAAACTCGCAATATCATCTGGATGATTGGCGGTCCACCACAGTGTGATTCAGAAGAAGTTTTCTCTCTCGCACAACTTCCTTGTGGAATCGATTACCATCAGCGATTTTTCCGGACCGATACGACTTAGGGACCTTCAAGAAAAGCTCCTACTCCTTTTTAAAAGGCTGGCAACGCATCTGCGATTCCCCTGGTGTTGCAGTTGTTCATGGGCGGTGGTAGTCACTTACCATCAGGTGAGCCGCATGCTCGTTTGCCCCTTCTCCTGTAAAAAAAAGCTTTCTTCACCCGTAAGTATGTCGAACACAGCATTTGAGTCACCTCCGTTAAATCTTTGAACTATTTCACGACACCAATCAACACGACGGAGTTTTTGGGCCTCTGTCAAATTATGAGGTACCTATCCACCGGGCACAAAGCTTCCTGACCGCTAAATGTTCATGAAGGATTTTGTGTACTTGACTCATAACGATGCCTAAGCTTGTCTGAATCTGCTGATAAGTTACTCTTTTGTCAGTCTCTGTCATACGCCGCACAACATTGATGTTATCTTCAGTCGTCGCCGTAGAAGGCCGTCCTTCACGCTGATCATCGGTGAGATTAGTGCGACCACGTTTAAACTCATTAAACCAGTTGTAAACAGTGGCACGAGATGGAGCTTCATCGTGAAAGACCAATCGAAGTCTATCATAATTTTCTTATTGACTTAAATGACATCGAAAATCATAAAAAAATCATTGTACGAAATTTTCTCGCATTAAATTCATTGTGACGTGACACAGACAATTTTCAATTTGCCGCCAAATCGTAAAAAAATGGCAAATTAGTAAAATACATACACAATAATATTGGCAAAGTTCCATTTTCAAAATATGAACTTATTTTTTATTATATCGTTTACAAGTGACCAGTTCTAAAAACTTTCAGTGTCGCCCTCATATCTAGATTACAGATTAAAAAGCAACAGTAATATATAACCTGTATTTGTATATTATCTTGATACTAACCAATGCCATTTCCTTCTTTTCGTATTACACTGCTAATTTAGACTTCAGAGTAACTCCTTTTTTTACTTAAAATAATTTCATAGGCCATGGCAGACAGTAAGTTATACGATATCTTAGGTGTTTCAAAAAATGCAAGTGAATCAGAAATAAAAAGGGTAAGAGTGTTTAAATTTCCTCTGCAAACTATTAAAATTACATGCATGTACAAAGGCACATTAACGTCTTACATGAATTTCTTCGTTGTTTCCAGCGCGTGTTTGAATTTTAATTAATATTTTTTACAGAGTTACCACAAGTTAGCAAAAGAATTCCATCCTGATAAAAACCCAGCCGCAGGGGACCGATTTAAAGAAATAAGCTATGCTTATGAAGTTTTATCTGATCCAAAGAAAAGGCAAACTTATGATAAGTATGGATTAAAAGGTTTGCAAGAGGGAGGACAGGGAGGAGCATTTCCAGCCGATGACTTGTTGGGCCATTTCTTTGGTGACATTTTTGGTATGGGTGGTGGAAGTCGAGGAAGAGGTAGAGCTCGTGGAGAGGACACTATACATCCCCTAAAAGTTTCTTTAGAGGATATGTACATGGGCAAAACTGCTAAATTACAACTAAGTAAAAATGTTATTTGTGGTTCTTGTAAAGGAATAGGTGGAAAACCAGGATCAGTTGTATCGTGTAGAGATTGTCATGGACAGGGTATTAAAGTGTCTTATCAACAAATTGCGCCGAATATGACTCGTCAGTTTCAATCTCGTTGTTCCACTTGCCAAGGAAAAGGTGAAACAATTAGTGATAAAGACAAATGTCCTAAATGTAAGGGCAAGAAAATTTTGAATGAGATAAAAATTTTAGAAGTTCATGTTGAAAAAGGTATGAGAGACAACCAAAAAATTTACTTCAGAGGTGAAGGTGATCAGTATCCTGATGTAGAACCGGGAGATGTTATAATTGTTTTGCAACAAAAACCGCATGAAGTGTTTCAGTGTACAGGGTTAAATGACCTTATTATGAAGCGTGATATCACATTGACTGAGGCTTTGTGTGGTTTTGAATTTGTTGTAAAGCATTTAGATGGTCGTGATCTACTTATCAGACATTCTGCTGGTGAAATAATAAAACCTGGAGATCTGAAAGGCATACAAGGTGAAGGAATGCCACTATATAAAAACCCATTTGAGAAAGGAAATTTGTACATAAAGTTTAACATAATATTCCCAGAAAATAACTTTGCAACCGAAGAACAACTAAAACAAATAGAAAGTATACTGCCACCACGACCAGCCTTTGTTATGCCAACAGGTGAAGATGTAGAAGAAGTGAACATGATGGAATATACTGCTAGTGAAAGGGAACGAAGGAGAGAGGAAGCATATGCTAGTGATGACGAAGAACATATGCATAGTGGTCCTGGTATGCAATGTGCACACCAGTAGCTCAATGATTCTCTTTATCCTGATTTGGATGGATTTTCACTCAGACCTCACATGTTATTTTATCATAAATAGTCTAGATAGTTTAATATTATTGACACTATTTAAAAATGCTAGAGTTGAGTTTGTCATGCTGAATTGTAGATTATTAAAAAGGTATTTTAAAACAGAACATAGTTTCGAGCTATGGTTGGATTCATCACTTAAGGCTAGTGATGATTTGGTAAAATTTATTAAATTCATTCCAAAACTACATGCCCATTTTCCATATTGTATAAATTAATGTTATGCAACATTACAATAAACCTGTGTGTTTTGGGTAAAGTTTTTCCTAAAATGGGATAGTTAAACACAAAGGTTTTGGACATATAAATTATGTAAAAATGTTTCCCGTAGCAATAAAATTTGAATAATATACAGCTTGTGTGAAATTTAAAGAACTTTTATTTTCTTAAGATTTTTAAGCATGTTTGTGTAGTGAAAATGAAATTGGCTGATAGGTATTATTATATTATGTTCCAACTAGACTAATATTATTTCTTAAATTTAATTAAACTATTATATTACATAATATGATATGTAAAATGAGAGTAACCAATTGTTTATTATTTTATTATTCAATCCACAATGTTCTAGAAACTAAAATCATTTCATATTATTCATCTTCACATTTCATACATAATTTATGTAAACAAAAAGATTTTAACTCTGATCCATGGTGCAGTACCTTGTAGTTTTATATTTATCCATATAATATAATAATTATCTATAAAATGCACTATTATTTTTATTTATTCAAACCTTTAATTTAAAAACAATTTAAATTATAAGTACAGGCTTAATGGCACTCTCTACCAGTCAACTCTTGGAGATAAAATTGTTGGCAGGTTGTATAACATAGAATGACTTATAATACCATAAAGCTAACCATATTTGTAATGGCTCTGTACTGCAATGGCTTAACATCTAGCAAGGTTTGGGGATGCAGGTTTAACCTCCTGTGGTGGAACTAGTGTTGTAATAATTTCTTATATTTCCACTATGTCTCAGAGTGAGCCAGATCCATTCCCCAACTCATAAGTTCACTCAACACGGCAAGAATATATTCACTCCTGAGAGGACACCAGAGCAATAGCGAATTTGCAGTGTTAAGTGACTTATAATTTCGTATTGTGTAAAGGCAGTTAGTGGTCCAATCTTGTGCGTTTGGGCTCAGACATCGACTCGTTTATCTAGCGCACACTAGATCGTATCGTGTAAATTGTACTACACTGTCTAGTGTACTTAACGCTAACTTTTCTAAGTCAGTTCAGGTAGGCCGTGCGGTATTAGGAAATCCAAAATGACTAGGTAGTAGGACTCATTCTCTGCCGCCAAATAGCTGTTCGTCAACTCTTGGAGATAAAATTGTTGGCAGGTTGTATAACATAGAATGACTTATAATACCATAAAGCTAACCATATTTGTAATGGCTCTGTACTGCAATGGCTTAACATCTAGCAAGGTTTGGGGATGCAGGTTTAACCTCCTGTGGTGGAACTAGTGTTGTAATAATTTCTTATATTTCCACTATGTCTCAGAGTGAGCCAGATCCATTCCCCAACTCATAAGTTCACTCAACACGGCAAGAATATATTCACTCCTGAGAGGACACCAGAGCAATAGCGAATTTGCAGTGTTAAGTGACTTATAATTTCGTATTGTGTAAAGGCAGTTAGTGGTCCAATCTTGTGCGTTTGGGCTCAGACATCGACTCGTTTATCTAGCGCACACTAGATCGTATCGTGTAAATTGTACTACACTGTCTAGTGTACTTAACGCTAACTTTTCTAAGTCAGTTCAGGTAGGCCGTGCGGTATTAGGAAATCCAAAATGACTAGGTAGTAGGACTCATTCTCTGCCGCCAAATAGCTGTTCTGGTTTGAAGGATATAGAAAGCCAGTATAATTACAGACTGTGAGCCTCATCTTTAGATCTTAGTCCTTAGCGCAACAGGATCCAGAGGAGATAAAATATTAATTATAATTATATAGGGACAATTTTTCTTTTTTGAATAACAACTAAACTTTCTGTGATGCTTATGATACGATTAGATATCGGAGGAGCTTCGGTTAACACGCGTAACACTGACGAAAATCGTTGAAAATCTGTGTATCAAATTTAACATAGATTTGACGTTGTGTTGGTACTGGTACCAACATCTGCTCGGTTAGGGCTTCAGATACAAAGAGTGCTGTACTAGAGTTGTCAAAAAAAGCTGTACATGTAAAACGTTGCCCATGCAGCAATCACGTTCTTAATAACTCATTAACTACGTCATTACTGTGTAGTGGCGGTGTAAGAATATCCACTACCTCATATCATCTCGTGGGTGTCGAAAGAGGCGACAGAGTGAAACAAATCAGGAGATGGGCAGCAACGTCTTCCTAACGACTATAAATAAAAAAACTGCGGTTGCCAAGCGTGGCAACTATGACAAGTATCCTCCCCCTATGAGGCAATCCATGGGGGGGGGGGGGGGTGATAATATAATGTGAATTTATTCATCACAAACTCGGTATTGCTTTTGTGGTGTATGAAGGGTTTTATTTAGGTATTTAACGGTTAGCGCTCTTAGGGTGCGGTTCGAACCACGATCGCTACTCAAAGTAAGGAAATTATTTACTTGCTAGCTAGTGTATTGTAATAAGTAAGCCCTTTTTATCTCGCACTGCAGTTAACGCCGGATTTAGAGTTCTAACGCTCCTCGGCCCGTCCTGCTAATGCCTGCCGACGCCATGAATATATTTACTATATTTTTATATTTTACTCGTTTTCCACCACGCGGTTTCGCCCACATTTAATAAAATTCCTGAGAGAATTAGGTAGGTATTTTCCCGCGCCAAAAGGTCTTCCTTCAGGATGGAATTAGTCTATTTCAAAGCCTTATTGAAATCCGTTAGGCAGGCATAAAAAGGTACCAGACAGTCATACATATTAGGTTCTTACACAATTATAATATTAGTAAGTAGTTTTTCTAATATTCAATTACAAGTTGGACATTATTATCAGTATTTCAGTTATGGTCTGTAGTAACTAATTTATCTTTTTATAGAAGAAATGTCGACCTTCACCCATAAACAACTGCAACAGCAGGGGAATAGCAGCTGCGATGACGCCCTTTCTAGATGGAGTAAGCTCGTTTCTTGAAGGTCCCTTAATTGCATCGATCCGGAAAAATCGCCGGTGGTAGACGATTCTACCAGAGAGACAAAGACAGTTAACGCCCCTCTTGGCTCCTCGGACCATTGTCTTGTACCATTCACACTAACGTCGTGGCTGCCGTGTCTGGCACTATAGGTCGGCCGATTGGGATAGGATGCGGTATTTTTTTGCATTCTACCCTTCTTCCTCTCCGGGAGCGGGTTTGCTTGTCGTCGGACGATCCCAGCGTTGTTGCTGATTCTGTCGCTGATGTGGTACTTTAAGGTATGGAACTTTTTATTCCATCATCTGTAGTGCCCATCGGAGGCATATCCAGGACCGGATTAACCATTAGGCAGAGTAGGCAACTGCCTAGGGGCCACGCATTGGGTACCCCACACCGCCCCGTGCGCGCACAAATATAATGGAAAACGTTTCATACAAAGAAAATTCAATTGGAAAATTTGTAACCTCAGTGACAATATTTATTATTACGTTTTAGCGACGCATACTGTCAGTTGATGAAATACTTCATACTTACAGAACAAAATCATCTAGTATCGAGTAGTAGAACAAAACTATTTTCTTTCCTTTATTATATTTCATTGCATTTATCAAGAATAAAATTAAAATTAAAACACTCCGTCTTATTTTTCTTTCTTGCTCCATAATGAGACGATCGTATCTCATATACATACTTTACCTAATGAGATATGGATCATCACTTATCTATAACCTATTCATTAAGACAATTTCAATAAGCCCAAATACAAATCTTTTACTGTAAGTTCCTGAGGAGTTAAGCATCAATCCGGTGATGCTACTCATATCCCTTTATGCTGGCTGCAAAGGGGCCCCGACATGGTTAATCCGGCCCTGGGCATATCCCAGCAATGGTTTGGTCGCTCCAATAAAATAGCATCACGTTATAAGCAGGAGTGCTACCGGACCTGGGCTGACGCATCAACGTCTCGGAATGTAAATACCAGCGCTCTTTAAAAGAAGTATAATTCCGCCTCCGGGTCCTTCAAAAGAGTCATTGCCAAGGCAAGGCACAAGCACATCGGCAGAATTTGCGAGAAGTTAGTTCTGTCTCTTGGCAAGACTATCTAAGGGAACTTCTGTCAGCCATCTCTCTCAGCACAGAGACAACGACTTACTGGCCCATGCCGCAAAGGGGAAAGCGAATATGTTAGGCTCTCTCTTTGCATTCAATTCGACTCACGATGACGGGGGAAGACACCGCCGACCATCCCGCGTTGTGAGTGCTCCATGCCGGATGTGCGAATTACACAGCGCTTGGTTCGAAAAGCACTCCTCTCCCTGGACGTCGACAAGTCGAGTGGGCCTGATGGAGTGCCTCCCATTGTGCTAAAGACGTGTGCACCGGAGTTAGCACCGGTTTTACCGCGTCTTTTCCGGTACTCCAAACCCAAGGCGTAGTCCCGAATCCATGGAAGACAGCTTTGAGCCCGATTCCTAAAAAACGTGACCGCTTAGACCTGTCCAACTACAAGCTTATCGCCATCACCTCTGTTCTCCAAAATAATGGAGTCCATTATAAACTGTCAGCTAATGAGGTACCTTGAGGATCACCAGTTGATTAATGACCGCCAATACGTCTACGTTTTCGTCGGGGTCGTTCAGCTGGTGATCTTCTGGTCTACCTGACTCATAGATGAGCGAAGGCAGTAGAGTCCAAAGGAAGGAAAGAAAAGGAGGCATTGGCCGTTAGTTGGGACATTGCGAAAGCCTTCGATCGGGTCTGGCACACAAGCCTATTACTGCTGGTGTTCCACAAGGCTATGTGCTATCACCAA